ACCTCGGGATGATCGTAACCGATGGTTAGAGACGCTGAGTGATATGGTTGGATGTAGTAAACAGTGGCGTTCGTGCATCTTTTCAATTTCTTTCCAACCTTAGTCCACTGAACTTCTCCATTTTCTTTTCGACTCCACTTTCAACTTTCCTTTCTTCTGCTATTCTTCATCCAAATGGGCAGCCAAAACCGGCGCACGAATATGCGTGGTTTTCCGGTTGTACAAAATGAAACTATAAATCATTCAGTACAGTTTTACTTCTCCGTGGACCGTCGAGGCGATACGCACAACTGGACCCAGCCTAATCGACCTCAAGGCCTCCATCCAATAGATGGTTGAAGGGTTTCAACGACTAGCACAGCATTTGCGGCGGTAGGATGCATAAATAGAGGTAGCAGGTGCTAATAACATGAGTACCAAAGGTGGAATCTACCGCATGTAGTAAATGCTAGCTAGCGCCGAACATAAACACGATCTATTGAGCAAATAAAGTGAACATCTCGAACCTCGCTAAATGTGCCGCTTTGTGAAATTTCACCGTTTAACCGGAACGGAAGGGTGGCGAGGTTCGACTGCATCCGTAAATTACCAACAACAGATGATGGTCTTGTTCATGTTTGCAGTCGGATCACTGTCAAACTGTTATTGTAGAGTCGCCGAGTACTGAACAATACGGTTCTCCGTTTCACGATCACCTGTTTCAACCGGAAACATACGAGCAGGTCACATTTTTCAGGATCCATTCAAGCAAAGATACAGAAAATAAATTATCTGTTCATGGGTGGCGTCCGCCAGATTGTACAAAACAAAGTAGATGATTTCCTCAAATATTTCTCGCAAGGAATCGGCTAAAAGCTGACCCGCAAAATAGTGAGTGGATGTATCTGTAGACTGCACTCAACTGAAAGGTTTTATCGATTAAGACGCGATTCATACGTCCAGGGTGTCTAATACACTCCACCGCCCAATCGATCCGGTAACAGCTGCAACCAATTTGTTAAATTATGTTCGATACAAAGGTGGTGCAAACCTCTTAGATAATCTAACTTCCCGGGTTACAGGAAACAGGTTACGACCCTGATCATTGGAATCATCTTATTCATAGTGGGTTGAGCTAAGATAGTGAATGGAGTCTCACCTCGAAAAACATGCTTTGGGAGAGCAGTTCGTGGGAGTGAACGCGATGAGTCGTAAACACTGAACAGGAAGTGACGTTTTGTAATTGGAGCTCTCTTTTAACGTCGATTGCAGTTAAATTTGACCCATAAACGCGAACTATGTGAGGATAACTGGCTACTCGATTTATGTTGAATCATAAATAATATCCATCCCATCCCCGTTGATTTTGACCACTGAATGACAAATAAAACCTGATGGTTTACGTAAATACGAACAAAGCATCAAGACTGAAACAACGTGATTCCAGAGAATTACACAGAGTTAGTTCTGATTAAAGTGGATATGAGAAATCGTCACGAGAGTTGTGTCAAGCACATTTTGCTTTGGGAAACGTGACATAAACGGTCTGTTTCGGTTATGGGGACCATAATCATTTTCAATTAGATTCAAAAGCTTGGGGAAAAACTGAGAGTTCAGCATAAGAAATCCGTAAAAGTAATCGCATTTCGTATCGTGACAACCAGAGGTGGTTTAAAAGTATCGCAAACTATGCCCGACAGAGCAAACACTTCACGGATAGTGTTGTTGTCATTCTGACTACTAACTAACAACAAGTAGTCAGGTAATATGTGAAAAATACATGGATCGAACCGTTTGTTTGTCGAAATCCCAAACGTCGTAATTCGCTTCCTGTAATGACCGAGAATGCACAGACAGAGCAAAATAGAGGTGCAAAACTAAAGCAAGATCAGCGATAGCAGCAGCAGCAGCAGCAGTTCGTAAGCAGGAAACCTGCCCCGAGTGAAGTAGAAGAGGGAGGGAGTGAGATCATGCAAATGACATGTGAGATTCGTGTGCGAGATACGTCTTTTGGAGGTGTGTGAGTGAATTCAAAAGTTCACATGAAAAAAGCGACCAAAACATCACATCACTACAGGACACTGAAGGCGAGGGAGACGAAAAGTTACAAACGAAAAGCATAGTCAGAAAAGCCACAGTGAAATAGATCCTCCCTCGGTGACAGAAATGAAGACTGGTGAGGGGGGGGAGTTAACAAAGGAACATAAATGCAGTCAACTACGTTCCATGGGGAGATGAAACTACTGAACATTGTCCACACATAGGTGACTTAGGCAAAGGGCGGCAGCGGNGGGGGGGGGGGAAAGGTGGTTCACACAGGTCCAGATCCGCTTACATTTGAATCGGGTGAAATCCAAGCCTGCATCTAATGTTGCGAACAGAGAAGAAAACGATGGAGTAGAGGTTACAATTATGGAAAAGATAGATGCGAATTCTTTAACGGCATGATTTTGAAATTTCTGAAAACAATTGTTCGCCTGAAATCGTGTTCTAAATCTTCAAAAATTAAAATTTTCGCGACAAGCAATGAAAACTACACCCGGGGTGAAGATGGCCTCCTTGACTCCGGGAACTTCATGTTTCAAATGTTACTACGGTTATAACTGTCTATATTTTAGCTAGCATGAGTTCCACCAGGGCCAGGGGAAATACAAATGGATCTGTCTCACATATGCGCACGTGCTTATAGCATTTCCCGATTTACTGCAGTATTGGCAAACCGATTCAGATTCCTCGTGGCAAAATCATTTAACTACGGTTCCTGAGTTCGATGGAGCCAGTCGAAAATAGCACTGATCGGATACACGAAGAGCAGATAGCTGATCAGTACATTTGAGCTAATACACTGAAATGGGGAAGCGTTAACAAGTATTTTTTTCAGCCACACTAGGGTGCTCACAAATCAGTGGAAAAGTTCGAACGCATCAAGGAGTCTAGGCGCAAATCTGTATCGCTGTTGGATAAGGCTTACCTGACTTAACAGATCCACGTGACCAGGACCGGGATTCATCACAGGTGCCCCCGTACGGCTGGTTGAGACACACAGTGATGGCTGAGGTGAAACCAAATTGGCACACGGATCAAGAGCGATATTGGGCATCGGCGGTACGAACAATCCGGCAGTTGACACCGCAGGCGATTTCAGACCTATAAAAAAACCACGTGGGAGGAAAACAATGGAGAGAAATAAATGAACCAGTAGAAGAGAATTTAAAGCGGCCACGCACAAAAAACCTCAAATAGTCTCGGATGTCGATGTGTGACTAATTGAGAGTTGATATATGCTTCGTTTTATTAAACGCACACACATACACAGGGCCAAAGAGCACTCATCCTCTCCGAGCGAAAACATTGCCATAGATTGATTTAACATCGAATCATCTCGATAGCGAAAATCTTCGTTGAAAGAACACGGCCATAGGGTTACCTATCGCGAGGCAACGCCGCTTATTTCCGTGCTAAAGATAGTCCGTTTCACCTTTTATGACATATCAAGGGTCAGTCTTATGCGTATTCGTATGAACATCGAAAGCTTAATTAATTTATTCACAGGCGGTCATCAGAATCGTTTGACTAAAGGTAGTTGCGAATATTTAAGAATCCACGGCCTGGTGTGCCCACTCCATTGTTTACGATCACCACTGAAATCCGCGGTGGTGATGGTTACAGCGAAAGCACTATTAGCATCTAATCCTAAAAGAAGTAGGGCTGCTAGACTCACTTACTACAACTTCCAGAGCAAGGCAGCGCCCACAAATCCTGTTCGGCCAATCGATGAGAAAGACAATACCAGACCTTGGTGTTCAAGACTGGTAATCTGTACAAGAACGGAGTTCTCATGAAGAGAATTGCAGTGGGAACGTGAATAAACATGATTGAGGAAGAGACACCAGCCGGGAGGAAAGAACTTCGAGAGTGTGGAAGATGAGAAGAGGTCGGTTTGTAAAGCAGCAACAATGAAGAGATGAATGAAAAAGAGAAGCTTGTCTGGCGAGGAGTGCAATTCGAGCGGTAAAAGTACCGCAAACATTTGTACTAGATTCGTGGGTGAAACACATTCCCGAATGCGATGCTAGCTGTATACCGAAGAAAACAAAGAGAGAAATAATTAACAATGGATTCCAATCTGGTGAGATTAATTGGTAGTCGCACCTTTTGCGTGCTGGATTTGAACAGGTACAAGCAGAAATAGAATTTGTCCGGCCCCAACCATGTTCAATCAATCTACTGAGTATGTACAGGTATCCATCGAACCCTTGTTTTGTTCTGTTCTGTTCTAACAACCATTAGCCATGCACTTTCGCGCGCCGGTTTTGGTTGCCCATTTGGATAAAAGATCAAAATGAAGATTAGGATGCTGACAGCAGATTCAAGGGGAAGATAGCGAATTTATATAGACTGAAGTTACAAGGATTATGAGTAGATGCATGAGCGCCACTAGTTGCGACACCTAGCCATATCGCTCAGTGTCTCAAACCATCGGTGCACATGATCACGGGGTCCCCAGCCTGGGAGCCTAACGGCACCTATCTGACCCAGTGTCCTGGTCAGGGTGTTCATACCCTCATGCCGGTTCTTAGTTTGACCGCCCTTGATCTTTTTCCAACCGCTACCTGTCACTCGCCGTGGCAACCTATTTGGTGACATGCGTCACGCAACCGGCATAATCTATAAAGGTTAACCACTTGCTCCAGTGGATGACCTCGATTACGCAATCTATTTTAATCCTATTCCCGTAATGACCAAGTCTCTGCACCGTAAAACAGCACTGGATGAACTGCTGTAGCATATACTCAACCCATTACAGACAGCCGGATGTCGCGACGGCGCCACAGATGTTTCAAGTTGGCAAATGCCAACTGAGCTTTCTGTATGCGCGCCGACACTTCATCTGTGATGCTTCCGCCAGGTGAGATATAGCTATCCAGGTAGCAAAACATGTCTACTTTCTCCACTACTTTCCCGGTCAGTGTGATATCGTGGCTCCGCCGTTTCGTTCAAACTCTCCCAGGTGTGGACAGGTCTACGCAAAACGTGACCGAGCTATCGGAGACAGTGTAGAGCAGTTAAACTCTTTTGGATAACGACTATCAGGACAAAACACAGGGCGAAGAAAATGATCTCTTCCTCAAGACCAACTCTAGCTGAGACCGAACTTCCGAGATATTTGAAGCTCTCAACTACCTCCAGCTGATCAGTACAAAGGTTGAGTTGAGGCAGGGGGAACATAATACTTTAACGCTTACCAATTCAAATAAAAAAATCGACCAGAACAACTAAATCTTAGTAGAGAACAATAGAGAAAAATCACATACTACCTTACCTCGAACAATCAACGTATTATCCTGGTTACATTGCGTCTCTCGCTTCGTCCAAATGGATAAAGGGGGAAGGATACTTCTGAAGGAGGAGGAGGAGGAAAGACAGGGCTCACCCAACTGAACTGAATCTCCTTCATCGACCCGGATGGAATTCCGTGCATGGAACCAATTCGAGTCCTCATCTGTCTATCACTGTTCTAATTGACTAATTCATGAACGATCACTTTTGTAGCTTATTGTACAAAAACTTGAATGAATCGGTCAAATCTAACGGACTTGTATGAAGAACATTTACTACTGTGTGCATGAGGCGAAAGAGAAACGGAAATGGACGACAGTTTCTCAAGACCCTTGATCTTTAGTGTTGGCAGGGCATACTGTTTACTCGCGTTGCGCGGAAGAAGCCACGGTTTTATCTAGTCTCATCCAGGATGAACAAGAAGTTTGTTTATATCCGAAGATATGGGCACTGTTTGGCAAGTATCTTCTTCATAAAACACACCAAAAAAGTGTGACAGCGGTATAGGATATGGTGAATCATAATTATAATTAAGACCATCGCACACTTGCTCCAATCGATCTGCTCGAGAAGGCTGTTCCAGAAAGGAGGCGAACGGATCAAACTACTAGCCAAAGGCTTGTCTGGTACAACCCGGTTTCCTTGCACATTACATTTGAACGAACAAAGTCTGTGGGTCCAATCTCAACTCAAGTGATGGAACCGTGCTGGGCGCCGCGCTTGTGATCCTGTTCTCCAGAATCTCAATAGATCACTGTGGTTCATGTAGTCGACCTATCCTCTATCAAGAAATAATGACGCAAAAGCAAACTATGTGGCAGCATGGCGGTACGTATCCACGACTGGGACACGCATGTGAAGTGTGGACGTCAGTTTGACTTTATCGAATAAGATTAAATGGAAGCTCGGTCCCGCATGAGACCAAAAGTCAACAAATGCAACAACCAATGTCAATTGGTCACAACAAAAGCACGGAATGATCAGGACACACTGCTACCGAGTAACCGTAACTATGTGTACATACACACACAGACAGATACTGACCCGCATAAAATTCATTCGGCCACATGGCAATGCTTGTCTGAACGAGACCAGCAGAAGGCATAGTATTTGTGCGATAGGGCCACTGTTGACCGGTCAGCAGGGTGGTGGGGTGAGTCGTATTGAACGGATAGGTCGGCTGAACTAGCAGTGAAGCGGACGGATGACCAGTGTGTTCAGCCACGGGAGACATTAACTGACTAGACAAGGCAGATCCTGGCATCGGAGGGGCAGATACACGATTGTTAGCGGATTGAGCGGCCTTTTGTAAATTGAATTGCCGTAACAGTTGCTCCATTTCGGTGAATTTCTGTGCTTGCTGTTGCATCAAGAGATGCAAATTGACCTGTATGAGGGACCGAGCAAAACGAACCCAATGAAAGAAGTACGACCGGGTGGAAATAACAATAAGTGGGACTAGTCTGGATCCGGTAAAACGAGTTACAAAGTAATGCAGAGAATTTCAAATTCTTTTTCTCCATAGAGAAAAGCGCAAAGTGACTGTTCTAACCGAACAAAGCTATAATCGTTTTCGATGAGAACCAAATTACAAGGAATAAACGCCAAAAGAGGGGAATGACCGCGCGAAGTGGGGAGGAAGTTAGATAGAAGAAACATGTATTAGCGAGGAGAAATGATTGTTACCAACGGGAGACGGACAGAATTGTGATGAGTTCGATAGAAACGAATCAGCACCGGGTTGAGGCAACTGGTTCTTATTTCACAACAATTTCTGTGGGTTGATAGCGAACACTGAAGCAAATCGGTCAACGTTAAAGTTTTATGATGGAAATTGATTACAATCTCATGCTTTTATTGCCTCAGAGGATATGACAACAATTTAACCGTTCCTTCATGAAAAACAAGAAATGTTCCGTGAATTAAAAAAGAATATGATGTAACCTTATTTCACTGTTTTCTGCGCTTTTACTAGTGTGACAATGTGCGGTATACCAGCTTTTCATCACATCTCTAATGGAAAGATTCATCCTATTGAGTGCATAAAGCTTTACTTGACTTGACTCAACAGATCGTGCGCAAACGACGTGAGATGGAAGAGCGTTCTAAGTGATGCACACTAGGACGGTAAAATACTAACGCCAGTATTCCAGCCGACATTTTTTATGCTCTAGTGCAAAGGGATTTTCCATGAGGAGGTGGATGTTGGAGAACAAGCGGAATATAATCTCCTCACATAGTCCAGGTAATACGATTCCTTGACTATTTTAGGGGCTGTCCTTCGTGGATGTTGCGTGCATACGTCCGGAATGGGAAGGAAATTCATCGAGGAGATTACGGATACAATGTATTGTAAATTTGAGTGCGTACAGGCTAGCTGACATTAATAACATTTCGCGAGTTATATTCAGACTGAAATTGTTTTGTACTTTCATAAAAAAGTATATTGTTTTGGGTTTTTCCTGGAGAGAGTATTTTGAGTGAATGTTAGGCAGTGCTGATTATAAGAAGCGCGGCCGAATGGGGAAATACATCAAAATTCCGAGCAGCAAGCACCTACCAGAAGTGAATTTCGGAGGCGTTTTATAGTGATACCTTCGGATACTTAAATACTCTCGTGATTCTCCACTATCATCTTGAACTTGTTAGAAGCTTCTATTTAACCGTACGGTGGTAGATAGGTACCGAACTGAATGCCCGAACATAAGGCTAGTCACAATAGTTCGGCTATGGATGGGCGCTTTGTGAACAATCATGACAGCTTCACTATTTCGCTGATCTTCTCATGAATTATTGGGACATTACCAAGAAAACCATTGAAATATTCTAATCAATAAACGAATTGATACCAAAGCTAAAAACCGAGAGCGAAGGATAAATAATCCCGGGATACCTTACAGACCCCACACAATACACAATCCTCTTATAAAAAATAGCTTTCGGGGAAATATGAAAAGTGATTGATCAAATATCTGTACCACCTGATAACACTTTCGTCCCAGAGCAAAATGGAACAACAGAAATGCGATCGAACTAGACGCCTTGCATTCTAGTGTTGGCGTTTGGTAATCGTTTTTCAAAGATGGTTAGGACAGAGTGTAAACATCCAACCAGAATTTCGGATTCAGTTTGTACCTCAGCTCGAACGAAAACATCAGATCGTGTGCTGGTATGATATCCATGGACAAATAAATACATAAACAAACAAGCCCATGAACACCACTAGTGTTTTAGTTACCACTTGCCAACAAGTCCCGTGAAGCAACTTCATTGGTTGATTGACGGCACAGGAAGAAAAGAGAAACATCATGGCGAACAGTCGTTGTTTACAGTAAAAACCCAACGCCGAAATATGATTCTGAGAGCTCTGATAGCGTTCCGAATGAAAGAGAGATTCAACTTATTGATGCACAGGTGCATCAAGAATTCTCGTATACCAAATAGTCAAATTATCAAACGGCTGAAGTCGAATTCTTTGGCTCACTGCTGCAGACAACCAGTAGTTAAAAATCACCGATCATTCGCGCAGATTGAATTAAGCTACGCTGCAGTATTAATTTACCGTCAATTACATCAACTGGCCTATCCCCAGAACACCTAACTGCTATCTGTGTTGCAGTCAAAGCATAGATGCACACGTGCGAGCACGAATGGAAGGGAAACTGTATGCATACGTGCTAGTGCACCAGAGCTCGGATCAGGCTACGCGGAATTCTAAGTAATTGATCTGTGATTTTTAACTACTTCCATCACGACGAGACTGCACCTTAACGTGGTGAGATGGCTTGCGCACCTCTCTGACCCAACGAGCTACATGGGATGGCTTTTTTCAAGCCGCAGATCTAATCATACCTGGAAGGTCAATCGGTAGAGGTCAGACGAAGTTCAGTCTCCTGGACCTCCAAGTTGGAGGTTCGACTCGAGTAAGCGTCGCAGTCGGTAAAATGGTAGAGGAGCAATTGATCCAAGTAAATGGGCCTCCACTTCGCCTCACCCACTACCTTGAGGTCAGGTTCTTGTCAGAACTAAAGGCTTTGGACCAGAACCCTAATCGTTCTCCTGCTTAGTGACTGGACATCCTGGCAGTACCCGTCCATCAAACTTGAATGCATACACAAAAAATAATTCCATACTGCATCGGTCGTCGCGCAGGATAGTCGGGACCGCGCTGCCCATTGCATCGAGCGGGATGGATGACGGCATCAATCGGTTGTACTAAGAGTGTTCGCCACTTGAAAAGCTCTTTCACCTCACTTCATTTCTGCACCAATTGTGAAATCTTTCAAGCGGAGACTTAATGAAACCATGGCACATCTTACAGACCCACACAACTAAAAACGGAAATTAGTTGAAGAATACAGCATGTGCTACCGCTTACCCGGAACCATATGCGACTCTTCACCTTGAATTTGTGGGTAGAAGACACCCGTCGTTTAGCAGTGTTCGAAAATCGATGCTTACGTGGTCTGGCCCAGATTGGATGGAGTGAGCAGATTAGTAACTTAGAAGTAAGTCGTCGGGTGTTCAGGAATACATCAAACAAAAACTCGCTATCTCATCGAATCCAGGTCAGTAGGCTCCGTTGGTTAGGATACGTTTTGTGTATGGCCGACGGTCGCCTACCACAACGCGCCTTGTTTGCAGTGGCGATTACAGGCTGGAGAAAGCGATGTGGAGACCAGAAGATGACGTGGAGACGAGGCATGAAGAAATGCACAGAGTGATTAGGTATGGTAGATGTCTCTCGTCTTCCGGGTTGGGGTCCAAAAGACTCCGAAACCGCATTGTTAGAGACACTCAAGGCCATGGCTGCGAACCGACAGCAATGGCGATCATGATGTTACCTCTAATCGGAACAGAATGCTTGAAATTGTATGTATGCACGGTAAGGCTGTGTATTCTGTGTTGATAATAGAGGTTTGCTTTCAATTCCCGTTCGTAAACGTGGGTCCCATTGATATCCTCCCTACACTATCTCATTTATCTTGAATGTACCATGAACTTGGCACCGATCAGTAAACGTCGCTTCATTGATTGCCGCTGTACAATGATGATGATCACGATGATGATGACTCCTATGTTAATCATGATGAAGATGATGGTGATGATGATGATCACTCGGATGATGATGATGATGATGATGATTCGGACGATGATGATGATGATGATGATGATGATGATGATGATGACGATGATGATGATGATGATGATTCGGATGATGATGATGATGATGACGATGAGGATGATGATGATGATGATGATCATGATGATGATGTTGATGATGCGGATGATGATGATGATGATGATGTTGATGACGATGATCACGATGATGATGATTCGGATGATGATGATGATGATGGTGCTGTTGATGATGATGATGATGAAAATGATGATAATGACGACGAAGATTCGGATGATGATGATGATCATACTGATGATCATGATGGTGATGACGTTTAAGATGATGGTGGTTGCGATGATGATGATGATGGTGATGATTATGATGATGATGATGATCATGATCATGACGATGACTCGGATGATGATGAGGGTGATGATGATGAAGATTCGGATAATGATCATGCTGAGGATGATGAAGCTTCGGATTGTGATGGTGATGATTCGCATGATAATGATGATGATGATGAAGATCATGATGTTGAAGATGATGATTCGCATGATGTTGATGATGATGATGATAATGATTCGGATGATGATGATGGAGATGATGATGATGATGAAGATGATGATGACGATGATGATGATTCGGATGATGGTAATGATGACGATTATGATGATCATGATGACAGATATTCGGACGATGTTGATGATGATGATGATGATGATGCCGGTGATGATGATGGTGATGACGTTGAAGCTGATGATGATGCCGATGATGATGATGATGATGATGATGATGATGTTGATGATGATTCGTATTATGATATTGATGATGATGGTAATGATAAGGATGATGATGATGATGATGATGATGATGATGATGATGATGATGGTGA